TAAGACCGTATTCAACCATATTCCTCACAAGTTCCCCTCCTGAAGGAACCGTGGATTATGTTCCCAAAGTTTTCTTACCCAAAATTTGGAAGCCACAAAACATTGTCCCGCTTTATTTAGCACACATATTGAAGAAAGACAAGGAAAACTTGCTCTTCTATATAAACATCAATTTCCGTATAACGCAGCCTTTACAGTAGGGGTGATGCTGCAGGATCCCCAGCACACAAATGGATAATTGCTAAAGTATGTGAAACACCCAAGACCAGGAAGTAGATTTTGAACTAGTAAAAGCATTTGCCATTTTGGAAGGTAATTTATTCACTTCGAGTTAAATCTGTCAGCGTGGCAAACGATAACTCACTCAAAATTAAGGCAAATGGCATTACTTCTGTAGGTTGTTGCATAAAGAATCGGATAGGACTGCGACTGCATTGATATCAAAGCGATCATATAAGTAGTTTAAATGAATCGGTCATAACGCTGCATTCGTTGTGTCAAATTGGCTAAAATTTAGTGACCGCCAAATTAGTGGCATGGAGCATTAATTTTAAGTCAGTGTGTATAAGAGAGTGGTAGTTTTACCTGGAAGAGGAAGATGATTCGAGCAAAGGAGAAGATGTGGGCTATGGCAAAGAAGGCCTCAGAGAGAAGAGTGGGATCGTCTGGTGGCCAATGCTCGCGACCCGCCAGGTCGAAGCCGTAGCGCTCGGTCTTGCGCAGAATCAAGCCCACCACACGTAGACCCACGGTAGTAAGAAAGAGTGTGAGCATTATGAAATCCAACCAATTCCACCATTGACGCACATACGCCTTGAAGCCTTCTTCCCAGATCTGCTTCATCTCGCTCCACACGAAACCTATTCAGTCATTAGGATGTATGGAGGATCTTATTGACCAATAGAAGGCTTAGAGTCAGGCAGAAAAACATCAGTGAACACCACATATTTTTTAAAGATGTGTCGTTGTTGTGGCTTTGTGTTCTCGACTTGTTCTGCGCACATACCTGACCTCACTAATGATACTCCAGCAACTTCCCGAGTAACCATCATTTCTACATTCCATCAGATGTCTGCTGTTGAGATTGTCAATTTCCATAAATCTTGCTCGAGGAGAGAACGGTGTTTAGGTTGTGAGTCCCGTACTTGACCACACCCTGGGCAAAGTAGTAAAACACTGGCATTGCCGAAAATTGGCACACTATTAGGCCCTCAACGATTTAGGTAGTACTCATAGCTATTGCATTTATAACCTTTGTTTTTGATCTCATTTGCCATTAAGTTTTGCCAACGTGACCACCATGTTTGGTCTTTGAAAGAGACTTGCTCTTATAAATAAGTGAAGATAACTCTTATATTGACAAAGTGAGTATTACTGCAAGTTGTTGCTTGAAGTGAGATTCATATTTGAACAGGACAAACAATTTACTGAGTTATTGAAGTACCATTGATGCGATGAGAGTTGCAATTTCTAAAAGTGTTTTTCGAATTCTCCACAAATGTAGTTTACAGACACAAGGTTGCAGAGCGGAGACCATTCAGATAACACTGCATTTAGAAGTCGAAATGAGAAAAAGGCGGTGGATGTCAGCGTTGTCTAAGCATCACTCTCTCCAGCATGAGTAAAACGTTAGGACACAAACTGTAACAGAAGACATTGTTAAAGTCGTACGACGTGTTGTAATTATGTCATCATGAGTCACTTTTGGTCTTCCAATCACTTCTTTAACGTCCGCTTTGTTTTGCACCATCGACTACTCTGTTTCTGTACATTTGCTTGCACTACCGAACGACCACTTAAAGTTGAAACTGCCAGACAATTATGCTTTCTGATTTGTAAAATCTTTTAAATGACACAAGTTTCGTTGTTTAAAGTGGGCTTAGTAGGAAGGAAGCGCGAATCCAACTTCGAACGTCGTGCTTGAGGACTCTGCGGAGGAGACAACTTCCCTCAGCAAGCAAACATTGCCCCTTCTACACATCTTACTCATTGAGATCCTAGGGATGCCTAATAGACTCCTTCTAGAAAAGATCTCTTCTGAAAGTCTTGGAAGGAAAAGCCCAAACTCACTGCGAATAAGTCTTAGAGTTTCACATGGTAATTTGTTCTCAGCGTACAATAATTTTAGCCCTACCTCAAGTCATCAGTAAACACTCATTAGTTCTGACTTCATTGTTTTTGCTTGCCACTCTTCTGCTACCCTCAATTAACTACGCCATGCAAAAATGTCAGTATAAATTGATGCAAAATTCAAGCTTTAAGGCTATCAGCTTTAATGACGCTTTAGTCTTCCAAAATAATGCATCTATAATCAACAGAGACCCTTCAACGCTGCCATTTAAAGCACTGACGTAAGTACAGCACTGAGAGGTGGCAAGCAAAACGCCAGTCTGGTCCAGGGAATTAACGGCTGATTAGGTTGCTCGAGACGAGGAGAAGTTATTGTAGTCCCACAACTTCTCTTACCTTTGATAATTGTTGCTCTTAACTGTGTAATATCTTACAATATACAATTAAAAGGGGTCGTTAAAGTCGGAAATAAATTATCCATTAACAACCGTGTTGTTTTGATGCAATATGACTGCGTGGGGTGTGGCTTATAGCTTTGGTCCCAGCTTACTAACTTACCCCAAAAGTTAGAACTGTCTATTCAGTTATTTGCCTGTTATTTTAATCCATTTCAAAGTGTAATTCATTGTGGGCATTCAGAATGGGGCTCACGGTGGCAACCTTCCTCCGTAGGGTGGGGCAACGTTTTTGCATAGTGCTTAACAATGAATTTCAGCAGCCATGCTCTCTCTCCAACATTTAATCCAATTGTTTCCTCTTACATTGTCCCATTATAAGGAGGAGAAGTTGTATCGAAGTTTCTTTGACTTTTAGGCAATAACATGGTTACTACGCGTAGCCTTCTTGTATCTCCAACAGCACTTTTTATCTCAAATTGTCTGGACCTTTCCTGCATTTGAAAAGCATTTTTAAAATTATGATCCTTTGAGGGTGTCTAAATACAAACTCAAAAACGACTGAGGTCAAACTTTAGAACACAGCATTATTCGAACATCCATCGTTCACCGTTATTCTACTCCCTCAATTCTGTACCCTGACAATTGCGGAAGCAATGATGCTGTCCTCATTCCCAAAACTGAATGATCACATTACACGGATCGTTCCGAGACGATAGTCCTTCAGTCCTTCCCGTCTTGCCATTCAATTGCATGATGTGTGCATTTCCTACGCCATTCCACACCATCCCTCTCTGCACATATAATCAAAAAATAAAAGGAAGGGCATTGCATCGAATCAGCGTCCGAGCTACAATGGTAAATGCTTGTTCAGAAATCCATTCGTAAGAGGAGACAGAACGGCATAGGTTGAGTAGCTTTTCCCATCACGCTTCCTAACAATGGAAAACTTCTTTTAAAGTTAACTAGTTTTGACCTCACTTAATATCAAAAGCTCATGTTTTATAGCCATGAATATATTCACTCAGTAAGTTCCAGGCAGTAAAGTTTTAAAACAATTGGTCCTGCCACTCCCTTGACGTAGATTACACTAAAGCGAACCAACCACTGGGGTGACTGAAAGACCCTATGAGTTATGGAGAAGGTGCTAATGATGGCTCACGACTCCAATTTTTCCCATTTCTCTGCACAGCCATCAAAAATGAGATAACCTAAAGTGACAACGGTGGATTCATGTGACCACACAGTGAATATGAACTCGTTAACAGCCAGAAATGGTGTGGAACTCGACGCCTGCTCTCGTCAGGAGGACCTTAAAAGAAGCCTTAACTGACGGCCTAACGGTACAGCAAAGACAAATGAATAAGAAAATTCGTGATCAGGAAAAAGATTCATAGAATCTTATACTTGCATTTTACACTATTTCAATGCTAGATGGCGGATTTAGGAATGCTGCGTCATAGCCGGAATGGAATATATAACTTGTCAGTTTCCTACTAAAATGTCAACTTTCCTTTTGTGTAAAACATCCTCAATTCATGGGGCTTTGATTTTCAAGTGTTTGCAGCCTTAGGAAATCTGAAATAGGACTGAAACTCCTCAAATATCTCAATAAGAGGGACGTCCACACTCAGCATAAAGGCGTTGAGGCCTTAATTAGGGGATAGCGATTGAATAAGTCGCATTATTTTGTGCTCTGTATCACTTCCCGCTTCGCTTCACTTATCAATTTTTACACTTTGAAGTGCAGCGCATGCGATGGCTTGATAACTCGAGCGAAACGGGCACTGTGTCATGCAGTGTCGGATTAAGTCAATATGTTTATGTCATCCTATTTTGGGAATTGACCCACTACGCAGCGTGGAGAACCGCCAAAATGCTGGAAGGCACAAGTCTGAGCT